CATGAACATAGCGTTTATTATATATTGCGGGATGATTATCGTCTGTCATTCGTATATACCTACTCTTTTGTCAAGGCCAGTCCTTATCTTCATATTCGGTTACCAGAGCCGCCGACTCAGCCCGAGAGCGCGTTTGGTTTTAAACAAGGATCAATTTACTTACTACGAAATCGGCCACGGTTGAAGTTCTTTAAATTTGTTGATGTTATTTTGGGTAATAATTTTATTAAGTCTATTTGACATTTAAACCACGATTGAATTATATGGAATAATACAATTCAATATACATATTGACTTGTAGTATTCCATATAATCCGCTAACTAAAGAGGAACTTTTGAAATTTTCCCTTCGCCCTTACCTAAGGTCACGTATTCATATATTATTATAGTCTGGGAATTCATGCAGCGAGTGTAGAAAGACCCCCAGTCTCAAAAACTTATAATCACTATCTCGCTATAGAGAACACAAGAGCTTTTCCGAGTTGTTATTAGAAAAAACTAGATTTGGTCTCAAGTTGTTGAGTTCTTCTTGTCCACGTCCAAGTAGATGTTTTCAATGTTTATAAATTAAAAAGCTGAGGTAGCCTAGGGGGTAGGGCATTGGACTTGGTGATGCAAGAGGTCGTGGGTTCGAATCCTGACCAGTAAACTACTAAAGTGAACCGAGTCCTAACATAAGCAATTTAGCTTAGCTGGAGGGGTTAACGGGAGTGCTAGTAATTTCAGTTGCTAGTAAACCTTTAAAAAAAACTACCTATTCAACCAAATCAATATTAGTCACATTATAAATCGTAGATGATCGCTTCTAATTTGGCTTTCTTGCTGCATTTTGTCAACAGGAACAAGCAGAATTAAGTAGATATACTTTATACACTACTACTTCCTCATACTAAACTATTTACTCATATCATAAACAGGAAGATATCTTCAGGTGATATTGCTTGCCAGTAGCTGGAGCAAACAAAGTTTAAAGCTAATGGTTTTTGACAAGCTTTTAGTTTTGTTTGATTCTGTCTGTTTAGTAACGCTAATAAAGTAAGCTACAGGATAGGCCTAACAGTTAATTTATAATTGGATATAACTAACTATTCATTGAGGACGGTTACAGGAAGTAAAACTGCGACTAAAGTCTAGTAATCTACGTAAATATAGTTTTGCTTGATTGGTACTCTTAGAAGAAGCACTACTACTATAAGAAGCACTGTAAAAATTGATTTAATTAATTCTAACATAAAGTAGTCAGCTTTTAAAGGGCCCTCTCTAAGATTCGTTTTACTTAAAATATACAGGTAGGTACCTACTGATTAATATAATCATTAAAAACATAAACCATGCTCTTAGTTTTCTTTTCGTCTAAAAGCAGCAAATCAGAGACGCCTTGTGATTTCAGGTTCGACTAAGACGCTATCGACGTGCCCTCATGAGTAGCTAGTACTAGTGTTCAATAGGGAAAGTTAGGGGTTTCTAATGAAGATCCTTCAGTGAAAATGGGGCTGCTGTCGACGGGAAGTGTATATATTTCTTTTGCTTTCGATGTTACTGCTCCAGGTACGCATACAGAGAAAAACTTTTAGTCTAGACGTGAAGTTTTCACAAATAGCTAAAATGTAAATTTGGACCTAATTACATAGTAACGTGACTCCAAAGTAGAGTATTGTATTTTCTACGCAATCCTTGAACATTGGGGCCAAATAAAATTACTAGGTAGCCAAAATTTAATACTTCAGGAGTATGTTCTTATAAACTAAACTACGGCTCCCAAAGACTTACTAACCAGATCAACAGTGTATTGAATATGGGTCTCATTAAAAGCACTCGTAATACGAGTACCTATTATACAAACTCGCCGGCTTGTATGAAATGTCTTGTGTTCTATCATCTCTTCCAAGCCCGGTCGGGACTGAAGCGTGATATGTATGTATGTTAACCATTAAAGTTGAATTCAAAATTGGAATTTTTAATATAGATAAGTAAGTAATTTGAAAACAACCTTGATTATAGGTTGGATTTCACATGCAGTCTAAAATCTGAGATTAAAATGGCCAGGACATTCTGTAAATTTTGTTGAAGTATAATATAGGATTATACCCTTTCTATAGGGATCGTTTATTGAATAATAAGAATCTTACGATCAATACGTTGAGCCTTTAAAAACTTTATGAAGGTCTATTATCAGCTAGGTATAATTATATCATCATATTTACCATACCTTACATTAAAATTTCTTAGATTGCAACGACAGAGTGGAAATTATATACTTTATTGTTTATCAGTTAATAATATAAAGAATGTGCACCTACTCCTGTGAAATAGACTTCCTATGTTTTTTCCGTCCCATGATGTCGGACTATATGATGATTAGTTTTACCCTTCTTTTAGTACACAATAAGGAGATTTAATAATTATTTTCTTTACTGTAAAACGTGTCCACTACATGCTGCTGGCTTAAGGTCACTCGAACAACTTCTATGTTGTATTTTGTCATTAGGCTTTAGTGTCACTGGTCCGATAAGACTGAATACACACTATATAAATAGGGGGGGGGGATGAGGGGCTTTGTAGAAAGAAAAAAATAAAAACAAAATTGAAACATTATTTTGACTATAATTCAATAAAAATGCAGATGGAAATAAGGAAACTTACAAGAAAAATGTCATAATTAAGCTTTATACTTAATTCGTTTGTCCATAAGAAAATAGAATACGTAGTCATTTTTTGGAAGATTAACTTACAATTGGAATTAAATTAAAAAAAATTAAATACTTAATTACAAGTGTCGTAGGTACTAAACTAAGCTGTTATATTATATGACTCATGATATATTACTAACATTAAGTTACAAGAAATCGTACAACTTATATGTCGGTTTAAATACAAAAGAAATTAAATAAATCAGTTTTAATGGTTTATATCTTGTAATGAACTGATAATAAATAATAATCGTGATCTTTATGAACGCTTAAAACTAAAAGTTCCTTACAATTAGGTACAAAATTATTATCTTGTGTGGTCACCATGCAAAGACTCGCAAAGAATGGGAGAAAAACTGAAACTAAAATTATAAAATAGGAAAACAAAATAAAATACCACCTCGGTTCTATAAAGCTAACAAATAAACACAAAACCAGCTATGGTCAAATGTTTTATTGTAATAATATAGTAATAACTTGAATATCTGACATGTAACAAAAACTATTATTCATATGTGGCGCGAGGATACAGTCTCTTGGTAAGAATCAATAACGAACGATGGTTCATCAGAATTTCTCCTAATCACTTACATTGGTCCCTTAATTAAAAGTTTAAACTTTGTTTTATATAAATATTATAAAATATCACACTTTAAATTCAAAAGAAAACTATGCTACTTGGAAACTAATCACTTAGTTCTGTCAAAGTAGGACTAAAGCAATAACTGTGCCAATTTGAATATTATATTCAAAAGGAGACAATAAATAAACAATAATCTATCTCGATCAACTAAAATTAAATAAATCGATTTATCTCGTTTATAAAGTAAAAGGCACACATTTAGGCGGCGCACGGATGCGTGCGCGGCCGCTCGCCTCAACAATTGTATAAACATGTTATATATTAGTATTGTGTCATATCTTTATACAGGTTTATTGGTACGGAGTGTACAATGTACGCGATCTCGGGAGTTCGGCGGACCAAGTTCTGCGAGGCGGACTAGATGCCCACGAGCGGAGTCACCGAGTAGTCTTGCCATGTGCAAACTCTCGGAATGTACAATAATTGATAATATATAAGAACATAGGACCAACAAATACTGGCATTGAAAATACTCTAACTCTGGGTAGGTGTTAGAAATTTGGAAGACATACTTTTGGAATAATTTTTGCCAGTCAATCCTATGATCCAATTTATAGTTTCAAAGATCTCATTTTGGTGCATTTAAATTAATAGCTCGGTAATACTTAGAATCGGGGCGTTCAGTCACAATAAGAAGATCTTGTAACACTAGACATGCTAAGAGCGACGCGACCACAAATAAAAATAATCACCAAAACTTGAAACTGGTTTCGGGCCAACTCGTCCCCCTCGCACAAGGCAAAACGAAAAAAGCGCAGACAAGAGTCGGGGCGTGCATGCAATAGTTCTCAGATGGGCCGCGTGGAGAAGATCGCTAGCGGTGTCGGCAAGCCTGCGACTATCGCATGGTAATGGCATGGCAAATGGGCACTTTCGGTTTTGGTTTGAAAGATCGCTTTTGTAATATTCGAGATTACGAAATAAAATGTTTTGTTCCACTGGCCCATCGATCTCCCGAGGTTACAACCGACTGGTTCTGTACGTTATAGGTAAGTATATATATAATGTTATCTAATAGCGGGTCTCTGTGTTCAGGTACAGAATCAGTCGTGTTTGGGTTTTTAAACGAGCCACGTCCCGTCGACGCGGGTCTCGTCCGTATGCGGTGCGGCATCGCAGCTGCTAGCTATAAAATAAAATAATTATTACAGTTAAAGAGACTCAAAATAAATAATAAATTATTATCTTAAACCCTTAAAAATAGATCACGAGCGCCTTCTCGCGGCACAGTACCGAGCGCGGATAGGCAGTACGAAATAAATAAAATGTTCTATAAGCTAACTTTACAGAGACCACCGCTCGGCGGAGGATCATCGGGAAGACTTCCGCGAGCTACTCAATAAATATCTAATATTATAAGGTGCCATTTACAAATGCGTGCCGATAACTAAAAATGTAGGTACAAAACCACTATACTTCACACCGCAAACTTTCGAGACGCCAGTAAACACTTCGTTTCGTTAACTTTATAAATTACAAGGCGAAGTATCAAAATAGCATCGACAAACTGGAGATCATTCGTTGAGCGGGTGTGCTGTGCGCGAGACGCGACGAGCGGGACGTCGCTCGGGCGCTGGCTGGAAGACGTCGAATAGGCACTAAGGTGACGGACGATCCTTAAGCTATGTTCGGTATAAGTTAACTTAGGACTAGGCGAATGCAAGGCCCTAGGCGATGACGAGGTCGCCGAATGCGGACGACAGACGGTTGAATACAGGGAGTCGTTCTTCTTCTGGGTCGGGTGAGTGCGTGCGGCGGAAAGCGAAGGCAGTAGCTTGCGCAGGTGGCGACATCGCAGGAGGCGAGTGCGGCGCCAGTGGAGACTGCGGTGCTATCGGTGAGTGCGGAGAGTGCGGAGAGCGCGGAGAGCGTGATCCATCACTCATGTATGAAGCCATCGAACCACCAGATGAAAGGGATGCTAAAGAACCTCCAGGAGATGATGGTTCACGACGTCGTGCTTCCTCCGCGTTGTGTACAAAATGGCAACGGGGTCCATAAGGACAGAAACCGACAGAGTGGAAAGTGCGGCACAACTCCGTCTTATACTTGGGATGGCGCTGTAGGTTGCGCAGTTCACGTATTCCGTGCGCGAATTGGCACTTGTCGCCATATTTGCAAACACCGGCTTCTTCGAAGGGCCTGCACAGTTCGGTCTTGTATCTACTGGTGGCGGGTGGTGGAGGTGCAGGTTCACTTGTGGTACGCTCGAGCCGCCGATGGCCTAGGCGGTCAAGGAGACCGACGAGGGCACGGTGTGCAGGCACGGAAGCAGCGCGGGCCAATACTGGATGCTGCTCCCAGCTGACGCCACCTGTCACTCCGCCTGCGCCCACAGGAGCCAAGGAGCTCAGGGCCCCGTTCATGGTCTGCACTGGCCGATTTTGGTTCTGAAAAAATATAAAAAATAATGGTTATTATATTATAATAAAATGTTTGTAAAAGTTCTTTTTAGACAACTTTGCTAGGATATCATGATGGACGAATTTAAACTTACAGGTTGCTCATCTGAATGTAAAAACAGGTAAACGCCAAACCTTTTGAAATTAATGTTAAAATAAAAATGCTTTCTTTGAGACATTACTGTGAATATATTTGTGTTGTAGAAAAAATGTAGGTCTAAAAGGGTCGGGTACCTGCTACTTAACAAAAAAACTACCCTACGGGTTGGTTTTAAAGCCTACCTGCTCGTCTCATCTTATTTTCAAAAATGGTCTCTATATTAAGTTACTTAATATTACCAATTAACCGAACTACAAAATGGTGCTTTTAAAGCCCCGGAGTGAGTCAAATTTTAAGTTGTATCTGAAGATTCCGTCTATTATGAATTATTTATTTCAGTAGTAAATTTCCTAAATCCCATCAATATTCCCGTTCTATGCGTGTAGAGATGCAAATAGTTAAAGGAATCTTTTGTTTTTAGAGAGCGTCGAACCTGAAGCTACAGACCATCACCATGACAATGCTGGTTTAGACGCGAGAGGCAGTTGACACGGGCGCGGCGGCACAATCGCGGTGATTGTGCACTATTGTTCAGGCATCGCTGTCGCGTCGCCACTATGAGGAATAATTATTGTCGCCGAGCTATTCCTCGACAACGTCGACACTTCACGCTGTGAGGGGCAACGGTCGACGTTTGTCGTGTTAGATAACAGTACTGCCTATTCATGATGAAGTCTATGTTTAGAAGAAATTTGACTTAATGTAACATGAACTTTAACCAGAAGAGTGTTTTTGTATTTCGTATTAAATAAAGTGAGGGTTGTTAGATCAGACTAGTATTTCGGTCATATATTATGTTCAGTGTCTAGACGATGCGAGATCACCGTGAAGGTCGGATTGGATCAGAGCTTGACGCTCGAACACGAGCTCTATACATAATGTATGATACACCGCGTCTTGTATGCGGCCTCAATCGATGTGAATGACACGTCATTGTATATTCTATTCGCCTCTGCCTCGTCCGGGGATCGTAAACACGCAAACACTTGTGTTTTGGAATACAACGGACAAATTGTTATAAATGTTGCGCTCTTAGTTAGACCATGACGCGTGCGATTTTAAAAACACAAACCGAAGTATTTTAAAATTTAGTTTCTTCTTTTTTGATAACCCCTTGTATCAATAAAACTATTTCAAAATAAATGAGTAAGCAACTGGAAATACTAATAAATGACTAGATAATTTTCTCGTATTTCATAAGTTTACGCAAAGTCTATCCCAGACGTTAAGTTTTGCGGTTAAGACCAAACGGTAGGTAAACAATTATACACGAATGCTTTTAGTGGTGTATAAGCACCTATTGTTCTTTATGTAGGCAATAACCGCCAGTTCTTAAGGTTGCTTATGCGCCCTACTACGCATATGTATGTATTATGACACGGTATGTTTTGGGTCACATCTATGACCTTAAGGAAAAACTGTAAGGGATTTAAAAGACACAGGAAATTAATGTTCTAAACCCAATAATGTAACCCATTTATTTCCTTATGCTGAAACATCTAAGGAGAAAGTGAAGCTGTCAAAAAAGCGTAGCAGTACAATCGCGGGTAGAATATTGTAGTGAAAAGCCAGGGGTTAAGTTGGTGGCGGCCAAGTGTCGGCGGAAAACGGTCGAAGCGTAATTAGAGAGTTATCAGAGCGGAACATTGGTTAAACGCTGCTTTCCATCGGACATTGCGCTCGCGCAACCGAGCTCCAGGGAAAATTGTAACCACTGTCGATTTCAAATGGCCGCGGTTGTTGTATTTGAAGTCTACAGCAATCAGACGCTGGTCTGTACACCAAGGATTTTAGCGATTGATTTAACAATATGTTAAGACATTAGCAGCAGCGCCAAGATTCTCATTTAAAGGCAACAAACTCATAACATAGTAACGGTTTGTTGTTTAGTATATATATCAACATTGGTAAAATATGGTGCAGCGAACATTTACAAAAGTGTCCATGGGCATAGGTCGTACTTGAAGCTGTGATATGTACTTTTTTGTTAGCGGGCGATGGTGTCAACGTGATAAACACGCCGATCGCTCGAGTCAGTGTTTGTGCCCCTCATTACTATGGTGGTAGCTGGAGATTGCATACTTTTTTATGGCGTATCTATTTTAGGGTTTTTTAACCTAAACTGTTTTTATTCATTTAATGCACGTGAATGAAGAAAAATAGTTCAGTGTATTTTATTTGAATAATGCATTCATTTAAGATAACATATTAGTGTTACCGTGTTGAATTAATTTTTACTAAAGAGTCACATACTCAATCTAATTTACAGCAGTAAAATATTGAAAGAAACAATATTACTGGTGAATACTCAGATGTTAATACACACACCACGGACAGAGGGCAATGACTTGTTAAGTAAAAATAAAACGTGATTATTTCGTGAAAAACAAGCAAGTTCATGTGTAAATTTAAGGGCCGATGACAGGGCATTATTACTATTTTATATAACAATTAACTTCAGGAATTAATTTTAGAGATAAGCCGCAACTCTAAAAAATCTGTAGTTGTGAGGTTATTGAACTCTCAGTGTGCTAGCGCAAGTACTTGTGTATTTACGTTGGCAATCACTGAAAATTTACACCTCAACAGTCTGCTCACCATCGATGCTTTTTGAACTCGAAGTCTCGCTAAATATATTCTCTTTTCCGATAACCTCGCTTATAATATGTAAGCAAATTCAAAGAGTTCAAATTTAACAATTCTATTGTCGGTTTCTATTGTGACAGATATCAAGAGTCAACTCAATATCTTAACTTAGCTTCAAATTAGCATGGTTCTTAACTCGAACTATGACAGTAGTAACATTTATTGTAAATTCAAGTTAAAATACGTAACTCCATAACTGGCAGCGTGACCTATGTTCACTGAATGTAACGAGCATGAATTCGAATCATTAAGAAAGAGCGCCTCGCGACAATTGATACAGCGAGCGATATAACTCAAACAAGAGAACTGCTTAATTGTACGTTAATTGGTTCTAATCAAATGCGTTCTATTTTTAAATGAACTTTTAACGATTTAAAACTCTGGCAATCAGTATGTTCTCATTGGTTAAGAGACAATAAATATATCTCCGTTAATTTAAGCTGTCAAATGTTTAGCAAAAGCATAACACTCTCTTGTAAGTATACAGTACTAGAATTGGTTCATTTCTCTAAGGAGTTAACCGAGGGTCTTGGTGATTGATCCCATCACGTTTATTGAATGATTGCGCGAAAACGATCAGAGTCGAGATATTGCGGTCCCCTCAGTCAGAGACCTAACAACAATCTCAAAATAATGACCTGAGTAGTCATTAACCTTTCAGTTCTTGAAGTTCGTGTCCCTTAAACCAACACATTACGCTTGTTTATGTCAGTTTGACATAAGTAATCATGGTGAACGACTTCCTTTTATATCTTTGTTGTTATTTAAATTGTGGGAGAGATTTCGCTCAAATCATAGAAATATTGAAATAAACGCTTTGTGTGTGTATGCGAAATCGTGAACAATGGTTGAATATCACAATATGATTCATACCGTGACACTGCGCAGTTGCTTAGTGGTATGTATCTCGAATATTTATGGTTATTTAGGTACGACATTTTACCACAATTAGACGGGCAAGCCGTTTTAAAACATGTGTTGCACCCAAACTGTTATGAAACTTTGAAATAGCGAGGCAATAAATAACTGGAGGGATTCAATACTCTCCCACATAGTGCAAAGCAGACATCCGTTTAAAGCTATTGCCGTATATATTTTTTACAATTACCTTTAAAAAAATGTATTATAGACTTGAAACTCGTTTTTAGTAATTGTAATAATCTGTATCCTTTATCATTTAATTTTCCACCCTTGGAGGTGGAATGTTTTCAATTTATAAATGGGAATTTTGAGTAGAATGTCATAGGCATACACACAAAAACAATATTCAGTTGTATTGAAACCTTCCTCATTTTTAACTTCGGTTAAAATACCGTATATGAAATGAGACTTTGTTACAGGCCAGTGTTTTTGTATTACTATAAATGAAGTAGTTTTAATTTTATATGAATTTCCTATATGAGAAAAATATTTTTTGTGTAACTATGCTTAAATATGTATGTTCTGTGTACCTGTCTTGGAAACGGTTGTAACGGTTTGGATCACAATTTCTATAAAGATACCGTTTTGCTTTTGAAGTTATCTGTGTAGTATTTGTATAGGTGTATTTATATAAGAAAAATCTATTTTCAAAAAAAAATGCGTTGCAAAATTGTCATCCCGGTACTGAAGTTAAAGTATGCATTCAGTAACAATGGTCTGGAACTGTTATTGGATTTCACTAAATAACTAAGTGTCGTAACTTCATCTAAGATTTAATCTGTGCAGAACATACGTGTAATATGAATATGGTAAACATATCCACAACAATTCACATAGTTAGCGACTGTTAGATGAGTAAGACCGGACGCTCGGTGTACCGCACGCATGCAGATGGGCACCAACACCGTGATTGCAATGCGAGAACATAGTGGCTTAGGTATAAATGCCATCACATGTCAACCGCCCGTCTTTATTTATATTACGAGCACCTACCAAACGATTGCCCGCTGGTTTATTTTATTAGACGAAACAATGGAAATGTATTTAAGAAATAAGTTAGTAATCATTAGCATAGCAAAAAGGAAATCACGTAGTTGAATTCATGTAAGTTGCGAGAATTTATCAAACTACTTTATTTATGGTTTTGGTAAATATCTTACACTATAATGTTTAAATGTTAAAGTGGTATATGTTTATAAAAGTTTATTGAAACTGTCATTTTCGTCTTGGATTTTGGATTTAGATATTTCCTAAAACTCTGAGGCCGTATGCATGAGGCGTGGAGCGTAAGCGGGTGCCCTAATACGTCGGTGCTCAGACG